TTAAAATTTGGAAAATGTATTTTTGTTAGTTTGTAAGCTCCACTAGTTTAAATAAATTACATTTAATGTATTCAGTGGGAATTTTCATGGCATAAAGGTGAAACAGGGAGTTCTCAGCCCAAGGTAAGTTTTACAGTAGGTGGAGCACAAGGAATTTTTAGGGCTGGGAAACTATCCTATATGACATTGTTAGGTGACCACAAACTATACACATTATCTAAAACCCACAGGACAGGGTTAAACATAGAATAAACTTAACCCCAGATATGTGCCCCTGAAGTAACGAAAGCGTATCCACATATTCCTGACCACATTATTCCACAGCCAACGTGTGAACCTCACAGGCAAATTATGGATTTTCCATCATCAGTTGAAATGTACCACTGTGGTGGAGGATGTCATTGATGGGCAGGTACGAGAGAGACCTCTCTCAGCAGCTTCAGCTGGGAGCCCAATCTTCTCTAAAAGGTTAAGTCTAACAGTGCCTTTCTTTTTTTTTCTTTCTTTCTTTCTTTTTTTTTTTAACAGTGCCTTTCTTGATCTCACAACAGTTGTGTCTATTGTCACAAGATCTGCTCAAGTTTAGGCCTGTCAACATCTTGCTATGGGCCAGGGAGGGCTCATGAGGCCCTGTCTTTCTCTGAGAACCTAATGGCAGATAATAGTGGCAGAGGGAAGGCACTTCTGAAGTCCTGCCCCTCCCTGAGAATGTATGGGAAGTTAATCCCTAGGAGACGTTTTTTTCCTCAGTGTTGTAACCATGGGTAGGGAGTGGTCACACTCTTGAAATTTCTCTCCCAGAATCTTGTAACAAACCAAACCAAGCCAACCCAATCCAAACCCTAATAAGGAGATTGGAGAAATGGCTCAGCAGTTATAAGCACTTTCTGCTTTTGCAGGTTTGGTTGAGATGTCCCTCATAGTCTTAGGCATTTGAATATTTGGTCTCTAGTTGGTGGCACTGTTTGGGGAGGATTAGGAGGTGTGGCTTGTTGGAGGTGGCATGTCACTCAAGGTGGGCATTAAGAGTTAAAAGAGTTTTAAGTTCTTTCTCTGTTTCAAGATTTTTCTGTTTCATGAAGATGTGAATTCTAGCCAGGCAGTGGTGGTGCACGCCTTTAATCCCAGCACTCTGGGAAGAAGAGGCAGGTGGATCTCTGTGAGGCTAGGTTGATCTACAGAGTGAGTCCAGGACAGCCAAGGCTTACAGAGAAACCCTGTCTCAACAACAACAAAAACTACAACCAACCAACCAACAATAAAAGCTTCCTGTTCTGGCTGCCATGCCTCCCAGCCATGATGGGTCTTTTTTCCCTCTGGGACCATAAGCTCAAATAACTTCTTTCTCTAAGTTATTTCTGGTCATGGTGTTTAATCATAGCAATAGAAAAGTAACTAATCCACTGTTCTTGCAGAGGACGTGGGTTCAGTTACCAGCACCCACATGGCAGCTCACAACCACTTGTAACTCTGGTTCCAGGGTATCTGTTACTTCTGTCTACAAACTCCCTTTTTAGATCAGGCTGGCCTTGAACTCAGAAATCTGCCTGTCTCTGTCTCCAGAGTGCTGGAATTAAAGGTGTTCGCCACCACCCTCGGTATCTCTTAACATGGTGATGAAGGTCAGATCCAGAGCCTTGCACCCGTTTGGTAAGCACTGACTGTACCACTGAGCTGTCGTCCCAACTCCTAGCTTCTGGGTGTCCCGTTACCTGACCATCACCTTCCCTTGGTTTCACCACAGCAGATCCCAGGGCAGGAGCGAAGAAGCTCAGGGTATTTGGGTGATTTTGCAACTGAGCCAGTTTGAGAGTGGGCTCTCCCACAGAGAAGGCTCTCCATGATGGTGGAGCCAGATTGCCAGGGTGTTCATTTACAGTGAGTATGGGATGGAGCATGCTTAGCAGGTACGGACGCCTCTGTTCAATTACCAGCATCACACACACAAGAAGACCCTGCTACCCGGTTAGCTGTGTGTCTGATCTCTTGGCATTCGGTTCCTCACGATGGCTGCACATTACACAGGGGAGTCAGTTAGGGGGCTTTTAGAACACCCCGAGTCTAGAGCCCAGAACAGTGAAACGAGGCTAGGAGCAGGCGAGGCTCATCTGTCAGCGTTCTTTTTGTTTTACATTTGAATGTTTATTTGTATTTTCCTGTGTGTGCAAGCGTGTTCCGGAGAGTATGGCATGGCATGCATGTCATGATCAGAGGACAACTGGTAAGAACTGGTTCCCTCTTTCCGCCACGTGGGTCCTTAAGATTGAACTCAGTTCATCAGGCTTGGCCGCAGACACCTTTAACAGCTCAGCCAACTCGCCCGCCCATGTGTTAGGTTTTTAAACCTTCTCTGGTGGTCCCGGTGTGCATGCTAATACTCTAGGTATATCCAAATGAGAAAGCCAAATTGTACTCAAGACAAGCATGGTGTCAGCCTATCTTTTAGTCTGAACGTACTCATGAAGAGCTAGTCTGTGCCAGGTTCTGGGATAGACAGAAATAGAAGTCACTACAATTTGGGGTGGTTACAGAAGGGGTTTTAGAGCTGGGCCGTGGTGTTGTAGCCCAAATCCCATCACTCAGGAGGCAAAGGTAGCTAGATCACTGAGTTCAAGGCCAGTCTGATCTACAAGGGAGTTCCAGGACAGAGAAACCTTGTCTTAAAAAAAAAAAAAAAAGGACTTTAGAATGAAAGACCATAGTTCAGATCCTATCCCCAGCCCCAGCACTTACTGGCTTGTGACTTAGTTTCTGTCCTTCTTTTTTTCTTTTCTTTCTTTCTTTTTTTTTTTTTTTTTTCAAATCCTACCCCACCCTCCCCCAAAAAAGCAAAACCAAAAACCCAACATCTAGATTTTCATCAGGCCAAGAAATAGGCCACTTTGTCTTGGTCCCTTGAAAAGCCTCTGTTCTAACCCCAGGTGCCTCCTTCTCTTTTCTGGCTTTGCCGTCTTGATTTTTTTTTTTTTTTGGCTGTCTTGATTTTTTACATCTGTGTTTGTCTCTTTTTAATTATGTGTGTCTGTGTCTGTGTGAGTGCAGGTGCCCGCAGAGGCAGGAAAAAGGTCATCTGATCCTTTGGAACCTGAGTCACAGGGAGTCGTGAGGGGTTTGAAGCGGGTGCTGGGAACCAAAGGAAGAGTCACTGAGCCATCTCTCCGGCTTTCGCTGTTGAGTTAGACAACACTATTTTGAGCTTGCTTTCTTGTACGCGTTTCACGGTTACATAATTAATGTAGCGAAGCCGTCCGGAGATTCCTCCTTCACAGGCCAGTTTACACTCTAACCCTGTGCGAAGGTAAACATACGCCTCTTCACACTTTCCACTCCCGCCCCCTCTCCCAGCCCCTTTGCTAACGAGGCTGGGCACTTTCCAAGCATTGGGCTTTCTCGTTTGGAGAGGTGATGTAGTGATCTTGGCTTAAAATGAACGCGTCTTTGCTGTGAGATCCTCACCGTCTTACTGCCTGTCAACCCAGAGGTGCAAGGCAGGGAGGATGGAGTTCCAGACACCCCTCTCTCAGCTGTACCGCTGAGCCTCCTGATGGCCTCCCCTCCCCCCGAATAACCGGAACGCCTATTTTAGGCTGAGGAGGTGGCTCAGTGGAATGCGTTTCTAGGAGAGGGCTCAGTTTGGTTTCTGACATCCTTATTTGGGCCAGGCGGCTCCCGGAGCCCGGGCAGCCAAGGACAGCACCGCACGCTCCTCGGAGGTCCCCGCACTCCAAACCCAGCATCCCGGGGAACCGCCAATTTCAAACTTCCCAGCGCTGCCCCGCCCGAACGCCTTTGCCCTCCTCCTATTGGCCGCCAGTCAAAGGAAGAAACGATGTGATTGGCTTTTCCATTTCACTTCCTTCAGCCCTCCAAGACCTGGGTGGGTCCTGGCGGAGACCCCCGCTGTCCATCAGAGGAGAGCGAGCGCTGATTGGTGGAGATGCAGCTGAGACCTGCCCACGCCGTTTCCTTCAAACGCTGGGGCGGGAGGCTCAGGGCGGAGCAGGGCGAGTGTGAGCCGGGGGTCTGCGGAGTGTGAGTCCGGGTCGTGTGTGTTTGGGACGTACTGGGGGATTGAAGAGGGTCGGAGGGGAAGTCACCTCTCCCGGCCCGCCCCATCCATACCGGTGCCTCGGGGTCACAGGGCCCCGTGAGGGTCTGCTGGGGCTGCAGCCCGGGGTCTGTGGTGCAGCCCTCGGTCTGTGGTGCAGCCGCTGGAGTGTGCCAGGGAGGCCTGGCGTCTGGGGCGGCGTGTGTGTGGGAGCCCCGGGAGTGTGCTGCAGGCCCCAGGGCTCCTTAAAGAGGGCTGATCCCCAGTGGACCAGCCCCTGCCTCCTGTAAAGCCGTACCTGTATCCTTGCTCATGGCGCTTCTCATTATCTGTGGGATCTTAACTTACTTAACCTCTCTGTTCCGGTGCCTTCGTAGTCTCTCGTGTCTAACCCGGAGCCCCCTTTTTGAGTCTTCCTATTGTAGCCCTCCAGCATTTCTGGTCAGGCGTCCTTCCTCAGCACCATTGACTTGTGTAGCCTCCAGGGACACAGCACTGTTTCCCCAGCTAATCGCCAGGGCTCATTGATCAGCCCTTTCAGGCCTTGGTTCACACGTTACGTCTATTTAGACAGTTTTGAAAAAAATTTTTTAAAAATATTTTTATATACTTTTTATTTATTAGTTATTTGTATTAGTCAGGGGAACAGAGTTAATAGAATTTGTATTAGTTCTAGGGGAACAGAGTTAATAGAATGAAAAAAAAAAAAAGGGATTACAGGCCAGTCTGGCTAGTCTAACAATGGCTGTTAGTTCTTTAAAAAAATCATTTATTTTTTATTCTTTACGTATATGAATATTTTGTCTGCATGTGTACTGCACCACGCATCTGCCTAGCGCTCTGGAGGCCCTCCTCGTCCTGATATCTTTAGGGGAGATAGGACTGTCAAGCCCTTCCCAAATGTCAGTACACACTTGACTTTTCCCAGTGTTCCTTCAGCGCCAGCGGAGAGATGTTGAAGTTCAAGTATGGAGTGCGTAACACGGATGCCGGTGCCTCTGAGTCCATTGCCAGTCGGGCCTCCAGGCTAAATCTCTTCTTCCAGGTGAGAAGCTGTCTGCCAATGGTGCACACCTGTGCCTGCCACGGGACCCATCTCTGGTTGTATTATGGACTGAGGCTGATATTCTTGGGGGAAATCCCATTTTACATGTCCTCACTGAGCTGGACAAAGGTGCCACTGTGCAGATGGTTACATGGCTGGACCTGCTCTTGGTACACTTCGGTGTTTCTCATTTCACACTTCTGTTCTAAACTTTGTTCCCTTTCAGTTAAAGAAGCCAAAATTATCTCTGGTGTGTGTGTGTGTGTGTGTGTGTGTGTGTGTGTCTGTCTGTCTGTGTTGTGTCTGGGTATACAGAGAGGCCAGAAACTGCTTTGGATCCATTGGAGCTGGGAGCTGGTTTTGCAGGGCTTTGTGAGCTACCTGTGTAGATGCTGGGATCCAAATTGTGGTCCCCTGATGGGTCAGTAAACAAGCACTCTTAATTGGAGCCATCTCTCTGGCCCTAGTGTAGGATCATCTTATTTCATACAAGGGATCCCTGCTTTTTTTTTTTTTTTTTTTTTTTTTTTTTTTGAGATAAGTTTTTTCTATTACATAGCTGTGGCTGTCCTAGAACTCACTATGTAGGCCAGGCTAGCCTCAAACTCACAGAGATCCACCTGCCTCTGCCTCCGGATTTGCTGGGATTAAAGGCCCGTGGTGGCTATCTTGCTCTTTAGATGAAATTCTACACCTGTGCAACCATGCTCCTCCTGCGATACCTAACATTTCCTTCATCCCATAAGGACCAGTGTCATGAAATTATTCTTGAGCAGTTTTCTAGTTCAGTTCCTCTTTGACTTGCCTTCATGATGGGCTGGCTGTAAGCTATACTATAAACTGAAATAAAAGCTTTCCTGCCCAACTTGCTTTTGGTCATGATGTGACTTTAGTTGGTTTTATATTGCTATAACAATGTACCAGAGGGGCCGTACTTTATAAACAAAAGAGGTTTACATAGCTCACAGTTGTGCACCAATAGCTTCTGTTTGGCTCTGCTGAGGGTCACCATATTGTCATGGGAATGTGCAGAAGTCACATGGGCAAGACAGGAGGTAAGAGACCAGGCCAATCCCCTTCTGGCACCCCGCTCTCCCTCCTAAGGTTAAGAAAAGCGCTTTGTCTCCTGAAGACCAGATAACTTCCTACAGTGTCTCACACACGTTTTAGGGCTTTGACACTGGGGTCCAAGTTTGCAGCACATGAACCCTTGGAGGACAGTCCACATGCAGATGGTAGCTGGGAGTGACCTCTGCTCCAGGAAAGGGGGTGTGGCTAAGTGTCTGGGTGCCCACTGGCCTCATGCCTTGCTGTCCCCATGCAGGGCTGGCACCCTGAGGGTTAGATAGCTGGGTTTGTTTTTGTTAAGGTATGTCCAGTCGCTGTGGCTTCCTCCTACTCAGGGCACTTCTGTTTTGGTGCTTGGCAGACTTCCAGAGCCACAGAAATCTCACAAATCACCAGGCTGCCAAAGCTTTGGCAGCTTTCTATTTTGCCAAGCAAGGGTGTAGAAAACAAATGAAAGGAAAAAGCTATTACTTCCTGGTCTTTTCATTTCCCAAAGGAAGGGCATTTTAAGAAACATGGAGAGAGTAAGAAAACCGGAACAAAGGGCCGTTTTTAAGTTTGAGTTCCTTGAGTTTTTCCAGAGAGTATGATAGGGTACTCTGAGTTTAAGCCTTCCTGAGTCTCTGGAAACCCCTTGTCTTCTTAGGTTTAATTCTCAGGTGAACAGAGAAAAAAAACAAATCTCTCTTTGCAGAGTTAGAGACAACCAAAGGGACAGGCTGGACTCAGCGGTTCCCAAACTTGACTGAGTCTCTTGGGGAATTTGTTAAAATCGGTTCTAAGCTGCAATCTAGAAAATTTTAATTCAGGAGGCTGGCAGTAGGGCCAAAGAATCTGTTCTCTTGTGCTTCTCCAGCGATTCAAGTGCAGCTGCTCTTCTCTGCTGCCCAGTGTTGTGTAACAAGCCCTTACAAAACTTAAAGGAACAGTGCCATCTTTTCCTAGGATCCTGCAGATTGCCCAGCAGGTGTGGAAGTGCAGGTGTGGAAGTGCACGCGTTTAATCCCAGCTCTTGGGAGGCAGAGGCAGGTGGATCTTTGTGAGCTGAAGGCCAGCTTGGTCTCTATGACAAGTTCCAGGCCAGCCAGGGCTGGCTTTTTAAACCTTTTTCTCAAAACAAACAAACAAACAAACAAACCAATCCTGCAGGTTGGCTGTACCTTAGTGCGAGGCTCTGCTTTACCAAGTTTCCTCAGCTGGGGTTACTTGGTTAATCAACAGCGGAGATTACACCTGAGGCAGTAGAATATAGGCACTGACTGCTCACTGAGGGACCCCTGCTTCTTATTTAAATTTAATTATTGTTATTGCTTATGTGCGTTCCTATTGCTTGTGTGACTGGGTGGGGTTGCACTGTGTGCATATGAGCATCACAGTGCAGCTCTGAGCACCCAGGAGGCTTCTCACCGTATTTTGAGGCAGGGTCTCTCTTGTTTTGGTCAACCGTATCTTCCTGGCTTGCTGGTCTGTGGACTTCTGGCGATTTTCTTGCCTCCATCTCCCGTTTTTCAGTAGGAGTGCTAGGATTACAGATGTGTCTCCACATCTGGCTTTTTACGTGGATTCCAGGGCTCAAACTCAGGTTATCAGGCTTCACAGCCTTGCCTGATGAGCCATCACCCTGATCTTATGTGGACTGTCCATGTTTTTATTATATATATGCATATACATACATATATATATACACATATATATACGTATATATACATATATGTGTATATGTGTCATTTCCTAGGCTACCCAGAGCTAATAATGAAAGATTTTCTTATTATGTAGGTCATTAGTGGCATCTATTCAGTTTTGCCATTGTAGCACCAAGCTTGTCATGACTATGCAAATGAGTGGGCTTGGCTGGGTTCCAACAGAACTCTATAATTCAGGCAGTGGGCCTTGTTTGACTCATGGGCTATAGTATGCCAAACCCTAAATATGGTTTAAACTTCTGCGCATGGCAGCCGCCAAAAGCCAGGGCAAAGGCTGTTCCGCTCTGCCCTGAACCGGCACAGTGCATCCGTGCCACTCTCTGATGTTCAAAGTGAGTCTCAGGGACAGCCTCTGTGCACATAGATGGTAGGCACTGACGGGAGGTGTGGCATGTGCCAGTAGAGACAGGAGAGTCATTCTCCTTTGTTTGTTTGCTTTTGAGAAAGAGTCTCATTTGGTTTCTTTTGAACTCATAATCCTCCTGCTCCAGCCTCCCCTGTGCTAGGAATATAGCGTGCATCACCAAACCTGGTTGCATTGAAATTGTGTGTGTGTGTGTGTGTGTGTGTGCTTGTATGTGTGTACTTGTGTATGTCTGAATCTGTGTGTGCAGAGGAATTTTAATTCAGAACATGGCTGTTATGGCAAGAGATCATCACATTAAAGACCCTCCAGGTCTGTGTGATCCAGCTGGAGTACAAACATACCTTCTTAATCCAGGAGACAGAGGCAAGCAGGTATGAGTTCAAGGCCAGCCTGGTGTAGAGCAAGTCTCAGGTAAAGAAAAGTGTAGCTGCAGGCATGGTGGTGCACGCCTTTAATCCCAAACAATGAAGGTCCGGTTGCTCTGTAGAATGAAGCACCATGTGCTTGAAAGTGATCTCTAATTGAGTGTCTGAAAAAGTGAGGAATCAGAGAAAGACTTGACAGAATAGGTTTTGCCCAATTCTCACAAGAAGAGAGGAAAGGGAATCTATGTAAGGGACAATGCAGGGAGGAAAAGAAGTGGTTTTACCAGGACAGTAATAGACTGGTTGCAGAGAGAGAACTCGGGTGAAGATTGAATGAGCCAGAGAATGAGAAGGAACCAGAAGATTAGAAAAGATTGTTGGAGTTAGTTTGAGGCCAAGCAGAGCAAATTCAGAGGCGGAGAGAAAAAGCCAGATTAAGTTAGTTGGGAGAGGAGTTTGAGACAGAAGAGTTGAACTATGAGCTCAGTAAAAACAAGAAAGGGTGAGCTTGTTCAGCAGTAAGTTTCAGAGGCTGAAAGCATTCTAGGCCTAGGTTAGATCGAATGGAGGCTAGAAGTTTCTAGGAGTAGGCCTAGGTTAGCAGACAGAGGCAGTAAGCTTCCCAGACAACAACTGAACCAGGAGAATAAAAGTTATTTTTATGTGTGTGTGTCTGTGTATATGTGTGCCAGCCGTAGTCATGGTTTATTTCCTGGGTTGATCTCCATGGTAATGTTTTGAGACAGGCTCTCTCACTGCAGCTGCTCAATTCAACTAGACGATCTGTCCAATGAATTTCAGGAATCCACATTCCATCCCCCAGTGTTGGGGTGACAGGCACTTACTACCATGCCCAGATATTTTATACGGGTTCTGGGGATGCGAACTCAGGTCCTTACTCTTGTGTGACAGACACTTTACCAATCACCATCTCTCCATCCCCTGAAGTCATAAAAATTTACTTTCTGTGCCCACCTCCTGTAGCTGTTTTTATAGAGAGATTATTCCGATAGTCCTTGGCCTCACATGGGAATCGTTGCTCTCAACCAGGGTTGCCAACTCAGATCTCGGGAGGCCAGACAGTGGGCATAGATGAATCAAGCTGGCCAGACAGAAGACCGGAAGTCAAGTCTGCAGTGAACTTTGGCACTTGCCAAAAGGGTGACATCACTGAGCTCCCATTGCGTCACCAGGCAGAACAGAGGGCAATGCTGCCAGATCCACTAGAGTGTCAGGAAAAGAGAGATATTCTGGTGTGTGTGCGTGTGTGTGTGTAAATCTACTGATTTAAAAATATTGGCAGATAATTCAGATTATTTTAAATACTAGAAGCCAAACAAAACATGGTTGTGGGCTAGACACAGTCTGCCAGTCTGTAACCGATCCCACAGATGATGAATAAATCCGGCTTCGAGGTGGGCACCCATCCCTACCACTTGAGATGAATTAAAGAGGCTGAAGTTGTATTAGTGGTCCTCCAGCCACACAGGAAGGAGGGTCAGAGCGATGCTGACAAAGCGAAGGGATGACCTGTTTAGCACCGGGGCGGTGCTCTTGGCTTGATCCCTACCCCTCAATTTGTACCCTCGGATTCAGGTGGAAAACCTTCAGCGATGGATCCATGCAAATAAACCCTTAGCGGCCCCCAGAACCGTCGCCAGCCTGTCATGAGCAGTTGAGTCGGCCACTTGTGACTTACTCTGTGGATGTTATTGATCGAAGCTTTTCATTATTGACAAAGTCCCCATCTGCTGTTTGCCATTTTTAGGGGAAACCACCCCTCATGACTCAACAGCAGATGTCTGCTCTTTCCCGGGAAGGAATATTAGATGCCCTCTTTGTTCTCTTCGAGGAGTGCAGCCAGCCTGCCCTGATGAAGATGAAGCACGTGAGCAGTTTTGTCCGGAAGTGTAAGTCCAGGGGAGCGCGTTCTCCACAACTCCCCCTGCACGGCAGCTGTTTGCAGCCTGTGGGTCTCCACCCCTTTACGGGTGGAAGGACCCTTTCACAAAGTCGGCAAATCAGATGTTTACATCACAATTTGAGGCAGTAGTAAGATCACAGTTAAATAGCAGCGAAGTGATCTTATGGTTGGGGGTCACCGGAACACAAGGAACTGTATTAAAGGGCCCAGCGTTAGGAAGGTTGAGAACCACCGATATAGAGGAACACAGGATGCTGGTGGCAGAGGGCGGTGGTGGTTGTCACAGAAGACCAACCCCGGGTGTAGATTGTAGGAGCTGTGGCCTGGAGACCAGGCCTAAATGACAGAAATTCAGTTAAAAACGGAAATGTGTTGACTCATGAGACAGAAATCCCGGGATGCTTCAGGATGACTGGTTCCAGGGACTTGAATGACGGGGGATGCTGTCCTTTAACTCTGAGCAGACCTGACCTTCAGGCAGAATAGGAGCAGTGCTTAGAAGCCATTGTGTTTAAATTCAGTAAGATCATTGGTCTCAGTTGCTTAATTTTAACATCATGATAATAGACGAATGCAGTGATGATTCTGAGTCTGGTGTCTCTTCCCTCTCTTCCTCCTTCTTTTCCTCCCTCTTTCTCTTCCATTTCCCCCTCCTTCATGGTTAGCACATGCTTTGCTAATGAGCTACACCCCTAGCTACTGAATTCTTTTATTCATACCACCGATGTCGTAAGATGTAATTTTTAATTCTTCTTAAATGGAGAAGCCACTGATGAGGGAGGGCCTATGGGTCTGCTGACCTTGACCTGCCGGCTTTGACAATGCTCCTGATTTTGTTCGACTCCATTGTGCTTGGGCAGTTGGATGATGGTGCCACATCTTCTAGTATTTTCGATAGTGTTTTCAGTCAGTGGGTGTTCCACTCCAGCCTATCTTGGAGAAACACTGAGAGACCCTTTGGGTTGTCAGAGCCAGGCAGGGGCATGGAGGGTGCTACTGGGTGAGCCGTGCTTCTGCCAAACACCCAAAGCTCACAGGACCATATGGTCAGACATGGCAGCTTTGAGAAACTGCCTCATCTAAGACGGCCTTCTAACCAAGCACTCCACACTCTGAAAATGATGGCTCTGTATCAACTGGAAAACTTTTGTATAAGCAAAGCTTTACTGGAACCAGCCACACCCAAGTGTCTCAGCCACACCCGTGTGTCATAATCATGTTATAATACTTGGAACAGAGATCATGTGATTTCCCCTCCCCCCTCAAAAAAGCCTAAATTGTTTCCCACCTGTCTTTTCAAAAAAAATAAATGGGGAATTCCTGACCTATATGTGCTCTAGCTTAGAAGTCAGATGTCCTCCACAGTAGCCCTGAGTGTCCAAGAATGCTAAAGTAGAGACTGCTCAGAAGGCTTTTTATTGGAGATGTTGTCAGTCAGCTTCCCGTTAGTGTAATAAAGCACCTAGAATAGCAGCCAGCTGCAGAAGAGGAGAGGTTCGTTTCGGACTGTAACTTTTGGGGTTTCAGTCTGTGGTTAGTTACTTTGGGGCCTGTGACCAGGTACATATCATGGCAAGAGTGTGTGGTGTTTACCTCAGCCTAAGAATGAGCAGTGAAGAGCGAGCGGCATCAAGGTCCCCCTTGCCCTTTTCAAAGGGGAATCTCAGGGACTGGAGCCTCTCCCATGGGCCCCCCCTCTTTGCTGTCTGTATGACTGCTCTGTGCGGCCTCCATCCATCAGGAGGGAGGGGAGTACATTCTGAAAAGTCCCACGGAAACTTCCTTACTGGGAGTTCAGTTTAACATATAGGCCTCTGCATTATGTATGTGAAGAGACTGCACAGGACATGAGTCCCAAGTGCTAAACTCACCACAAATAAATTTTAGAGATCGGATAGCACCTCCTGCCCAGTTAGATGGGTTAGCTTATTTTGTACTTATTTATTTGTTTGTTTGTTTATTTTGAGGCAGGATCTCACTGTGTAGACCAGGCTGGCCTAGAACTCATAGAGATCCCTTGCCTCTGCCTCCCGAGTGTTGGATTAAACAGGTATGTCCCCAGGAGGCCTGGAGCTAATTGGTTAGTTTTACACAGTCCCAGGGAAGATTCGGATTGATTCTGCTTCGAGTCACTCACAGGAGGACATTATAATCAGCCTTGTATGAATCCAGGAGCCCTGTGATTGCCAGGGCCTCCTGGCATGGACTATACAGCTAGTTACTCAGGCCCCAGGGGTACTGAGAAAGCAAAACCGATGTGTCAGTTTTCCTTGTCATTGTGACAGAATAGCGGACAGAAGCAAATTGAGAGGAGGGATTTGCTTTGGGCTATGGTTTGAAAGAGTTCTTGGCAGAGAAGGAGTGGTGGCACGGGCAGGTGATGGTCCCTTGCTACAGAGTGCTGACCAGGAAGCCAAGAGCTTGGGCAGGAGGAGAAGGCAGTGAACCACAAGGCCCACCCTCTAGCCACCCACAGCCTGTTCCGCAGCCTGTCAAAACAGTGCCACCAGCTGGGGATCAAATGCTCAAGTACAGAAGCCTGTGGGGGCCGTTTCACATTCAAACCATTAACACAGGCTTCACTACTCGTGCCTAATCTGCTCTCAGTTTCCTCATCTGTGAACAGACGTGCGTAACTAACAGTGCTGAGAAGGCATTGATAGAGCTTGAGTGGTGGTTAGTCCAGTTGCCAGCTAGGTAAATTCTGCCCATTCCAGGGAAGGATTATCTTGATTAGGTTAATTAAGGAAGGAAGACCCGCCCACTGTGATTGCACCACTTCCTGTGGGGAGACCCACCTGCAGTGCTTCCTGAACTAGGACCCTGGACCAATACAAAAGGAGAAAGTGAGTTGGGTCCATTTACAGGCCCTTGCTTCTTCACTGTGGGTGCCATGTGACCAGCTGCCTGGGGCCTTCCACTGCCTTGACTGTCCCACCGTGGTGCATGGTACCCTGAGAATGTGTGTGTGTGCCCTCAGTTGCTCTGTCGGGGCATGCCATCAAACAGCAGAACGGTTACCAGGGCACCAGGCTCGTCATTAGACAATCATGCTAGCCGCAAGCTTCAGCTGTGATTAATTATTCCAGTGTGTAGCTTTAAAACGACCTTGAGGTATTTATACTCATCATTCTGCATTTGTTTGAATATCCCTCCATCGTCTTTGGAATATGTAAATTATCAAGTAGACAGTGGGAGGGGTGGAACTTGGAGGCACTCTCTCCAGTCCCTTGGTTAGGTTTGAGACCCCAGGGATGCTTAGAAGCAGTCAGTCATAAGAAGCGTCTGTAATCAGACTGGGGTCGGTGGAGTGCAGCTCTTCCGGAAAACCGTTTCATATTTCAAGAGGCTTCTTGGTGAGGACCCTGAAGAGCCCATGATTGAAATCTGGCGATTACGTTAGTATGATCTCCACCCCCACCTTCCTCCACCCCGACCTGCTTTGAGTTTCTGTTTCGGAACGTGAGCTTTGCTTTCCGGAGTGGAGAAAAGTCCATCGGCTGCCGCTGCCCACGTTTGTAGGAGCTGATGTTTTCCCTGGAGCTGCCAGAGGAGATGGGGCAAAGAGGTCTGAAGTGCAGCCTCCCACAGACATACCCCTGACCTTGAGCCAACGGAGGACAGGGAACAAGCATCTGGGAACCAGGGGAATAATTACTGTCTTCACCATTTGCAGTCCAGCATTGATTAACTATGGACATGTGCTCTGATTGCGTCATTAGATTATCTTGTTGTTGGCTATCGTAGGATGCTTACACAAACCCAAACAGCATGGACTGGTCACTTTATTTGGCTGCTAGTTCTCTCTGTCTCTTTGAGACAGGGTCTTATTATGTAGTCCTGGCCGTCCTGGAACTCGTTACGTAGCCCAGGCTGGCCTTGAATCCACTGAGATGCATCTGCCTGTTTGAGGATTAAGGGTGTGTGCCGCCATTCCTTGTCTATGAATTCCTTTAATAAGTATTCTCTCTTATGGAGAGATGGTTCAGCAGTTAGGAGCACTTGCTTCTGTAACAGAGGACCTGGGCTTGGTTCCCAGCACCCTCATGACAGCTTATAACAAGTCTGTAACTCCAGTTCAAGGGGACCTCTTATATAAAATACATGCTTATATAATTTATATATTTATGTAATTTATATAATTCCTTAATTTTAAATGACACATATAATTGTATATATTTGAGAAATAGTGTGATGTTTCAATACCTGCTTATTTATTTTTTTAAGTTTATTTTATTTTATTTTTCTGGGTGTGGTGACACATGTCTCAGAAAACCCAAAATGTACTTGTTTATTTTTAGGTAAAGCATATGATATAGTAATATGTGCCACTTACTTTGTTTCCTTGAGTTTTAAAAATTTGATTTGTGTGTGTGCGCGTGTGTAAGTGTATGAGTGTGTGAGTATGTGTTTGTGCACTACATGTGCCTGAGCTCAGGGAGGTCAGGTCAGCCTATTGCCACTTTTCCTGTTTGCCCAGGAAGACACTCACAGAGCAGATGTTTGTCAAGCACCTGATAGACACCAGCCGGTGTTTTAGACACTCCAGGTATGAGAGTGCAGCTGGATGTCACACCTCTGTTCGCAGAACAAAGAAATGAGACAGGAGAGCTAGTTACCCTTATCTGAATGTTACGCATTGAAAGTAAGCAGGTGTGGGGCTGGAGAGATGACTCGGTGGTTAAGTGAATTGGCTGCTCTTCTATATAGGACCGGGATTCAGTTCCCAGCACCCTCATGAAGGCTCACAGCCATATGTAGCATCCAGTTCAAGGTTGTCCAGCGCCGCCTTCTGGCCTCCGAGGGTTCTGCATGCACACGACCCATCACTCAGGCAAAACACTCCTGCACATAAAATAAAATAAATTAGTATTATTAGTTCAGACAGGGACTCTGTGTAGCCCTGGCTATCTGAAGCTCATGATTATGTGGGTTGATCTATAGGCTGTTTCCATGTTTTGGGGTCAGGTTGCTTCTGAGTATTTTGTTTGAATTTCCATCATGAGCCTCTTCATGCACATCTTTCCCCAGGGTCTGTTGAGGGCTCTGTGAAGGATGGTTTCCTTGTGTATCCCCTCCCCCCAGCCCCAGGTCCAGTTGTCTGTCTAACAGAGCCACAGCCTGGGCTGCGTTTTCATTACAGAGCTCCATGTCTTTCTGTTTGCCTCAGTATTCGGTACCTGCTGGACCCATAAACACTACCTAAAAGTTCAAAGAGATGATGAGTCCATATGGCTTTGGGGTCATAGAAGCAGCTGGTGTGGGGAACAGTTGTGAAGGGCTCCCCCTCCCCCGTTTCTCTCTTTTTAAAATAGCTGATGGCTTGATCTTAGCACCTCACCTGTTCACCTTAATAATGCAAAAGCCTTTGGGGGAAAAGATAGACTTGGAATGCTTTCTTGCAGTTCTGAAGGTATCACCTTTTTTTTTTTTTCCCCCACAAAGCGATCTGTCTAACTGTGATTTAGATGCCTGATTGTCCCCAGTGATGGCCAGGAGTTACTAAGTTAGGCAACATGGTAAGCACGTTTGGGGCCCAAGGCCTGAAAGAAAATGAAGAGAGATTGGTCTGTACACAGCAGTGGGTGAAGTCAGGCTCAAACCCAGAAAGCTGCAAGCTAATTATAATTCAGCGCTCAAATACCTGACATGAAGGAAGCCTGGAAAAGGATAGGGGAAAAAGGCAGACAGGGTGTGACAGGGTCACGCCAGAGTGAAGGGGAAAGAGCTGTGTGGCTTCCAAGTTTGCATCTGTGTGGTGGTCTTTTTGTAGGTACTTCAGATCTACTTTAATTTACAGTGTGTGTGTGAGAGAGAGAGAGAGAGAGAGAGAAAGAGGGAAAGAGATAACAGAGAGAGGCAGAGAGAGGAGCGAGAGACTAAGGGAAAGAGACTGAGAGAGAGAGAGAAAGAGAGCACAGGAGAGTGCTATGGTGCATGTGTGGAGGTCAGAGGACAAATTGAAAATTGTAGGAGCTGGTTCTCTTTTTGCCCCATGTGGGTCCCCAAGGGCCAAACTCAGAGGGATCCAGGTCACTTGGGAATGACTAGTCACCATGAGAGGGGGTGTCAGAGGCCAGGGGCTGTGGGTCATAGGCATGTGCCACCATGCTGGCTGTTTATGTGGCTGCTGGAAATTTGATCTCGGGTCCTCATGCTTGTAGAACAAATGTTTTTATTCCCTGAGCCATCTCCCCAGGCCTGGTCTCTTAGCTTTCATTGTAGACAGGATTCTCCAGGGTAAGTTTTTTTTTTTTTTTTTTTTTTTTTTTTCTGGGACTTGAACCTAGGGGCCTCCTGTGTGATGAGTACATGCTCTGTTACTGAGCTGCACCCCTGATCCATGACAGTTTGGATTGTAGGTGTTTCTTGCCTTCCTCTGGTTGTAACCCCTATTTCTGATGCAGCTCCTCTGTTAATTACAGGGCTCCATTTTTAGGTCATCGCTATTGTACTGACTTACATTCCTGCAAGTCAGTGGGGTCCTCTGGAGATGGCTCACAGTGTACGATCCTGCACTGCCACCTTCTTCGTCCCGTTTGTTGATCTCAGCCTGACTGACTAGACTTGGGAAAGGAATAAGACTATGTCAAGACAGTGGGAGTCACAGGCCCAACTGGATGCGTGTGTGGCTGTCGACCCTGCCGAGCCGATGTCAGGGCCCTGTCTGTGTCTCAGGGTAACCCTGTACCCCTCTCAAGCACTGCCACAGATTGAGACTGGGGAAGCAGTCCTCTGCAGCAGTGGAAGGGAGGAGCGTGGAATGGAGGGATCTGGAATCGGCTCTAGGGCTGATGGGAAAGCAGGGGTCATGCTGATTATGTCACGTTGCCATGCCAGTCTAAATGCCGCCGATCATGTCTGACCCCAGCACTGCCCTGCAGCCCTCAGGGAGAAGAAAAGAATGCCGGGTGTGCACCCTTCCTATTTTCTAAGTCTACAGGACTGGAATTATAGCTACCATGGAAACCGTACTTTGGAATTTCTGGAGCCCTTAATTTTAACAGATAAAAAAACACTTTTGTGCTGATTTTATAATTGTTCATGATAGATGAGAAAGTGACTAGACGTCTTTTGATGGGGAAGGAAGACAGAGCACATTTTTCTTTCTTCTTTTCCTTTTTGGCAAGATGCGAGCATCTAAAGTGTATTTTTTTTTTTCCCACCTGGGGTGTAACTCTCCCATCTTCTACAGATTCTGACATGATAGCCGAGTTACGGGAGCTCCAGCCTTCGGTGAGAGACTTCGAGGTCCGGAGTCTTGTGGGTTGTGGTCACTTTGCAGAAGTGCAGGTGGTTCGGGAGAAAGCCACTGGGGATGTGTATGCTATGAAGACCATGAAGAAGAAGGCTTTGATGGCCCAGGAGCAGGTAGGAGCATTTGACCCTCAGGTCCTGCCTCTGTACCAAATGTTCATGACAGGGACAATGACCTGCTGGTTTGGTGTCCAGGATGCAATGAGTTGTTGACTATGAGTATGCAGGCAAAAAAGGCTTGTTATCTCTTTAGCTCGCCTCAAACTGATGGTGATTAATTCTGAAGCATCACGAATTTTTATTCATTTCTTTGTCATGACTGTACAGTTGCATTTTATTCTACAACCACATTGGGCTTTTAAACGAATGACTTTAAGATGATCCCTTGAGACTGCAAACTTGGGTCTTAGGGACATGCCTCTTGATGGGGTAAGTGGGGCAGTGTCCGCCCGCATCTGTGCATGCTTGGGTGTTCCTTTTGTGGGCACACAGGTTTAATTTTAGAGCAGGCCTTTGCAAGAGTCAAAACTGTGCTCCCTGGCTTGTCTGGGAACAGGGTACGAAGTTGTCTTTTTAGTTGCATTTTTTTTCTTCCTTTGAAGAAGGGCTGCTCTCTCCAGACATATTGATTCATTGGTTGTGTTTTCAAGAGACAGCCGTCAGCCCTGGAGTTCAGAGAGTAATCCATTAGTTGCAGGCATTCTAGTGCACCTCATGTGTCCGATAATGTGCGCAGCCTTGTGGGAAGCCTGTGAAAGGAATTGAAGTCCCATGGTTGTTCCTTGCAGGGTTGACTAGCAGCCCCCAGAAGTGGAGGGAAAATGCAGATCCGCAAAGCAGGCAGTTAGCGGTTAAAGCACCACGGAGAGGGAGAGAATTAGCAGGGTCGTTAGCAGTGATGCGAAGGGCGATGTCATAGGTGAGCCAAGGGCAGTCGGGAAAGTCCTTATGATGAGAGGGAATAGAGTGTGGGCAGAGAAGTGATGGGAGCTGCCAGGGAGACATGTGGCTAGGATGACATCCTGGGGGTGTGAATTCTGGAGTTCTGTCCAGGCGTGTGTGTGTGTGTGTGTGTGTGTGTGTGTGTGTGTGTGTGTGTAAGGGGGGGAGAGGAGAAGAGGAAAGAAGGGAGAGGGGGAGAGAGGAGAGGTGGGGAGAGAAGAGAAGAGAGAGACAGGAGAAGAGAGAGTGATAAGAGAGAGAGAGGAAGAGAGAGATTGTATGCATGTGTGTGTGTTGGGTGGTTTAGAACTAACTGATTGAGGGAAGGTCCTAGCAACTGTAGTTTTCCATCATGTTGATGTTTTCCACGTCAGCCCCTCTTACTGTAGGATCCAGTGGCATGAAGAGCTTCCACCGTGCCGTCAGTCAGCGCCACCACCTGTCCCTGGAACTCTGCCATCATCCCTGTGTTAGTTAGCCTTCCGCTTGTGACAAAGGGCCTGAGAGAAGCCAGCTTAGAGGGGAAGGCGGCTTGTCTTGGCTCCAGGTGTCAGAGACTTTACTCCATGGTCAGCTGCTCTCATCGCTTTACCTGCAGGGAGGCAGAGTATCTTGGTGGAGGGCACATGGTCATGAAGAAGAGAAAAAGGGGGAGGAAAAAGGGGAGCAGACAGGCCCTGGGACAAAATAGCCTTCTCCAGGGCATGCCCGTCAGTAACCTACTTCCTTCAACTAGGCCCAAGTCCTACAGTCCTACCATTTCTGGGTAGTCCAGTAAGTTATTAACCCATGAATGGATTAATCCACTGATGACATCACGGTCTTCGTGAGCCAGTCATTTCCCCCAGCTCTTCAATGTTTGGAACCGAGCTTCCAAATACACCAGCTTTTGGGGGACATTTCAGATCCAAATCATTATACTCCTAAACAGACGCCCAAGATCCCTTTGTTTTTTTTTTAATCTCTTGAGACAGAAATGGCAGCAGAAGGTGGGAAGCCGCTTGTCAGGGTCCAAGCGTGATGCGGCCTCTGTGTTTCTGAATACAGTGTGAGCGACTCTGTAGGGAGGGGAATGACAAGATGTGTCTTGTGATGAGGAGGATGGGAGTGGGAGGTACTCACTCAGCTTCCCCATGGGGTTGTGCTAGCCACCCTCAGTCCTCCCTCAGTGAGCATTCTTTGTGCTTGCCATGTTTCTGGGTCCTTGGGCAGAGGCACATGATGCTAGCTCAGCCTTGCAGTGCTTGCTGGATGGGAACTAGTACTCATAAGATGAAACGAATTCAGCATGCCACACTCGGGTAGACAGTCGAGGTCCATACAGATGCACTTTCCTCCAGGCAAAGGACCCAAAGTGACCATGGCACAGAGGTGCGGGTCTCGGTTTTTAAAAAGCCTGTTCATGTCGGAGCTAATAAAACTAGCCATCGTTGGTAAATCGTTGTCATTGATTAAGAGAGTCAATATAAAAAAGAAAAGCAGGCCCCTAATGGAGTCACCGTGAGGACCTGGAATTTAAAGCTATGAAGAGAGAGGGGCAGCATGGGAAGAGAAAGGCGGTGCTGAAGGATGTGTCAGAGAGGATGTGAATAAGGGCTGTCCTCGTCACCCGGGAGAGGCCAGTGTGCTTGCACTGCATGCTGTGACAGCCAGAAATGGTCCTCAGAGACCAGTTACTTTAACGGGGCCTTAACAGGGCAGAGTCAACTGTGAGCAAGTGAGGCCAGGGCCTGTTCAGATCCAGCTTTCCTGCTGATGGCCTTTCCAGTGTCAGCGAAAAGGATCAGCCCTTCAGCCCTTTCAAGGACTGGGTCGGCCTGCTTTTTCCTAAGCTGCTTAGGTTTAGTACTGGGGTTTCCAGGGTGACTAGGGACAACATGGACTAGCTATTTAAAAGCATCTAGACATAACTAATCGGGCAGAGTGCTGTGTAGGGTGCGTGAAGTCCTGGGTTCAGTCCCCAGCACTGCATAAACTGGTGGTGGCACACGTGCCAGCAGAGGCCAGAGGAGGATGGGCAGCCTGTGCTGTCATTTCTCACCGTATTTGCTTGAGTCAGGGTCCCACACTGACATGGAACTAGCCTGGCAGCCAGCAAGCCCCAGTGGTCCCTCGTCTCTTTCCTACAGTGTTGCGCTTATCGGAGCACCTGGCTGTGCCCAGCTTTTTTATATTTACTTATTTGATGTGGGTGTTAGGATACCAACTCGGGTTCTGATGCCTGGGTAGCAAGCGCACTAATCACTGAACTATCTCCCCCAGTCCACATAGTCTTGAGCAGATTTTTTCCCCCTCTTAAGAAAACTGCAATTTTGCTTGTTTGTTGTTTCTTTTCTTTTCTTTTCTTTTCTTTTCTTTTCTTTTCTTTTCTTTCTTTCTTTCTTTTTTTTTTTTTTAATTCTCCCTTTTTATTTGTTTTGGTGGTTCTGGGGACTGACCTTGGGGTCCGGAGCATGCTGGGTAGGCAAGTGCCCTACCACTGAGTTACATTTCACACCCTTTCCTCTTAAGGCCTTTTAACTGGGTGAGGCCTACCCAGATTCCTGAGGGCAGTGTGAAGCTGCTGATTGAGGAAGCCCAGTCAACTGTGGTGACACAACACCTCCGTAGCAGCGCCTAGTAACCTCAGCATCGCTTTCTAGCATCTGGTGCTTTGACCTTTCCTGCTTTCTGTGTAAAATTAGTTATCAAGATCACCTCCTGCCCCACTCCAAATGGCTTGAAAAGACATCTGTGTACTTACCACGTATGTCCTATGACAGGGATATTTTCCCATGATCCACCACACAACCAGAAAAATTGTCAACAGTGCATTCTTCTGGCCCCATTCACGTTTCGCCATTCATCCCAGCCACATCTGTAGAATAAAAGGATCCAACCGTTGAATCCTTCGGTCTCTTCAACCTGAGTTGGTTCCTTCATTTTCTCTGGATCCTAGTGACCCTGATGGTTTCAATGGCAACAGGCCAGTTATTCCTTAAAATCCAGATTCAGCTGCTCTGCTTTATTAACATCTGGGCTGTAGACTTTACCACAGAAAAGGGGCTCGCTTCCTGTCGCCCCCCTACAGATGACTGGGCTCCAGCGGGTCCCTGAGGATTAGCTCGCTGAATGAAGGTGGTGCCTGCAGCAATTCACTGTGGGGCCTCTCCTTTACCCTTGGTGCTTAACTATCTGACGGGGAAGGACTCTTCAAAGACAGGACTGTCCCATTCCTCATGCAGCCCTCAGTGTTTGAGCCAGTGAGTTGCAATCTGTTACGCCCAGAGTGTCTCCCAGGCAGCTCTTCAAGTTGCCTCTCGTCTCCTTTCGGCAGATCCCTGCTGTGCCGGGGTACATTTCTCGTTCTCTGAGAGATGTTCAAGCCTGCCTGCAGTTAATTCCCCTGCATCCGCATCTCCAGGACCCCTGTTCAGTGGAGATGGTGTGTAGAAGCTTGGAGGCGGGAGACAGCCCAGCAGTGGAAAGCTCATTGCTCTTGCAGAGGACCTGAGTTTGGTTCCTGCACCCCTGCCGGGCGTCTCCCACACACCTGAACTGCAGCTCCGTGTAGCCGTTGCTCTCCTCTGGCCTCCTGCAGGTACCTGCACGCCCACGGCACATGGCACACAGACACACACACACACACACACACACACACACACACACAATAAAATCAAAATTAGAGGCCAAGATGCTACTACTGGGTTTTGCTCTTCTGTTGGCCTCTCACTGCTCTTAGACCTCTTTCGCGGGTGAGGCTAAGGAATACGTTTATATGTGTAGTATAGCTGCCTATATGTTCCCATATTTACAGTCATTCATGCTTAAACATGGAGACATAGGCATAGACTTTACACATATTTTACTTCTGTATGTTTATATAGAAAACCATGGTCACATAATTTAGCTCTAACTTCAGCCCCATTTTACATTTCTCCCCCGAGTCTTTCTCTTTCCTGTACTTGTGCCCTGTGAGTTGTCGTTCCGTCACTGACACAGGTATGTGAGACAATCAGCATATAAAGAGAAAATGTTTATTTTAGCTCATAATTGGAAGTTTCAGTGTAGGGCTAGGTAGCCACATTGCCTCCCCACTTCCCCCAAGACGCTTTTTCCCAGCTGCCCTGAAATCTCTCTAGATCTACCTGCCTTTGCTTTCTGAGCTGGGATTAGAGGTTGCACCACCACCCCGGCCCTGTTGCTTTTGGGTCTGTGGCAAGGAGGTACAGCTTGTGAGAATATTCGGAAAGACTTCATTTGGTGGCTGGCATCAAAACAGAGAAAAATGAATGGATTGGGGTTCCAGGATCCCTTCCCAGGGTAATCCCACTGACCAGAAGACCCACAACTAGGTTCTGTTTATGGTAGGTTCTACTACTTTCTCATAATGCTGTGTCCTGAGGACCAAGCCTTCAACTAATGTGTCTTTGGGAGTGCATGTCAACAAACCATAGTAATTTTTTCTCTGATGCCCCAGTTTTACCATTTTGTTCTTTAAAAAAAAAAAATGTAGATTTACTTATTTTAGGTATGTATGTATGTGTGCCATGGGTATGTTTTCAGAGTCTAGGAGAGGACATTGCATCCCCTGGAACTGGAGTTACAGATGGGTGTGAGACATGAGGTGGTGCCGGGTCCTGTGCAAAAGCAGCAAGTTCTTTTAACCATTGAGCATCTTTCTGGGCCTCTTATTATATTCTTTTTTTAAAATCTTTTTTAAAAAATATATTATTTTACATGCGTTGGTGTTTTGCCTGCATGTATGTCAATGTGAGAGTGGCAGATCGTGGCGTTATAGGCAGTTGTGAGGTGCCATGTGGGTGCTGGGATTTGAACCTGGGTCCTCTGGAAGACCCAGTCATGGCCCTTACCCACTGAACCATCTCTCCAGCCCTCTTTGTGTCTCATACATGTACAATCCCCTCTGTCTTTGTGGCCATACCCTTGTCTCCTCACCTACCTTACACCCCTCACCCCCGACATACAGATACCTTTTCCTCAACGATCCTGTTTGCCCAGTCTGGCCTGGTGCCACACCCGTCTGCCACTGTCCTCACTCTGCTGGGGCCTGGCACTGGTGGCTCTCTGACTCTCCTGCCTGGCCTGATTCATGGCACCTATTAGAGCCATCCAGGAAGTGAAGGTGGAGGGGAAGAGAAAGATATTTAAGCTCAAAAAATGTGAATTGACTTAAGGAGAGATGTTAGGTGCATAACTGGATATGTAGCATGGAGGCCTGGCAAAGCGGAGCGACAGACGGTCAGTGTCATGCTCGGGGGTTTTTCTTTTTAATACCTGGAAACATCAATTTAGATGGAAAGGCAGGACAAAGGCCGTTTTCCCTTCACATCTAGTTCTATTACAATTATCTAAAGAGTTTCTTTTCCCTCCAGGTTTCATTTTTCGAGGAGGAGAGGAACATATTATCTCGGAGCACAAGCCCTTGGATCCCCCAATTACAGTATGCCTTTCAGGACAAAAATAACCTTTACCTGGTGAGTCTTTACGTCCGTCCCTGTGGAACGAGCCGAGGCCGGGGTACTCAGATACCATGGATTGAAAGCAGTTCTTGCTGATGTAACCCATGACACCTGTCACTGATGAGACATATTCCTTGTTCTAAAGATTAAGAGCTGACCCACTTAGAAAAGGCCCACTCCACGCGGCCACAGAGGGCAGCGATGAAAAGTCATTTAATTGGGAGCAGTCTCTAACTGCCTTTAATAGAATATTGCTTTAATTAAATTAAGTTAATTAATTTAGTTTTTGAGACAAGGGCTCATTATGCGGGATCTGGCTGGCCTGGAATTTGCTATATAGACCAGGCCGGCCTGGATCTCACAGAGCCTGTCACCTGCCTCTGGCTGCTTGGGATGAAAAGGCGTGTGCCAACCACACTCTTTTCTTGCTTTCATTTTTAAAAGCTAAGGTAATAATGCATGGTTGATGTAAGACATCGCAGTCTGTTCCGTTCCCCTACGTGAGGAAGCTAGACAAGTTTATCTCCTGGAAGCAGAGAATAGGATAGTGGTTGCCCGGTTACTGGATGAGGAGAGGCAGAGGAGGGCTGGTTAATTGGTAGACCAGTTAGACTAATGAGTAGACAGGTAGAGTGATAAGTTCTGGGGTCCTACAGCATAGTAGGGCAGCTGCCTTAATAATCATGATATGCTTCACAATAACTAGAAGAGGTCAAGACAAAGCAGATGGTAAATGTTTAACATGGTGAATTTGTCAATTGTTTTGATTTGATCATTGCACATTGTTTATATTTATTGAAAGATATTTTACCCTGTGGCTATGCACAGTTAAGTGTACATTAAAAACGCATACCAGTACCACCAAACCCCACCCTATAAAATGCTGGGCCAGTGGAATGGTTGAGCAGGTGAGCTGCTTGCTGCCAATCCTGATGGACAGCGAATTAACTTTTGCAAGTTGTGTCTTCCGATGTGCACACACACACACTCTCTCTTTCTCACTGTGGTACATGTGTTCACATAGGTACACACACACAAATAAGGATGTATAATTTTTTCTGTTTTTCAAGACAGAGTTTCTCTATGTAGCTTTGGCTGTCCTGGACTCACTTTGTAGATCAGACTGACCTCAAACTCACGGAGATCTACCTGCCCCTGCCTCCCAGAGTACTGGGATTAAAGGTGTGCCCCACCAAGCCTGGCTAAAGACATGTAATATTAAAAGTTTAAAAACGTGTGCACTGAAGATGTGTGAAGTCAAACCATAGTACTCCGCTTTCTTTTCTTACCTTTCTGTAAGGAACAAATGCTCCTTCTGACCTTTACTGAGTCATACTGGGGAAAATTAAATGCCCTGATGTATATACAACCAGTTTTTTTTTTTTTCTCCCTCCCTCCAGGTGTGATGGCACACACCTTTAATCCCAGCATTCAAGAGGCAGAGGCAGGTGGATCGCTGTGAGTTCCAGGCCAGTCAGGGCCACATATCGAGACCCTATGTGACCCTATGTCTGTCTCAGACATCTTTGATGTTCCTATCTCTACCTATACTTCATTGTTTCTGGTGTCAGGGATCGAACCCAGGGCCTTGAGCATGCTAAGCACACGCTTTACTGAGCTTCGACCCTGGCCTCCAGGTAAGCCCTTTGGATGGTGGCCAAGTTTTCTCTGGTGTCCATCTAGAGGAGCTTATGGAATGCCCAAGTTCATTTTGCGATTCTTTTTAGGTTCTTGGAGGATTAAATTCCTAAATGTAAAATGTATTCTAAAAGCAACATTTGTTTTGGTTCAACCCCTAATGCAAGACTTCCCTGTCACCTTGGGTGTATATAAGGAGGCTCATGGAAGGGAGCAAGGAACTATCTTTTTGTCTTGAACTCCCACTTATTTTTTGGTTTGTTTTTGTTTTTTGAAGCAGGTTTCTCTGTGTAGCCTTGGCTGTCCTGGACTTGGCTTGGTAGACCAAGCTGGCTTTGAACGCACAGTAATCTACCTGCCCCTGCCTCCTAGAGTGCTGGGATTACAGGCGTCAGCCACTGCGCCCTGCTCCCACTTGGGTGTGTTTGTTTGTTTTGTTTTTTGATGTTACTGCCTTTGTTTCTGATCTGGATGAATCAATCTAATTGCCTTCATTTCATATAAATTGAAGTTCCTCCCTGGCTCCCTGCAGGCCTCTTTTGGTTTTGGTAGATCGAGGTGGGGTCTTGTTATGTATCTAGGCTGGCATACAACTCAAGGCTCCTGCTGCCCTAGCCTCCGTGTAGCTGGGGTTGTAGCCACGGAACACCATGCCCAGGCCACTGAGCTTTCTTGCGTGTGCATGTCTCGCAATGTAGTCCTGGCTGACCTGGAGCTCTCTCTGTTGACCAGGCTGTCCCTAAATTCATAGAGATCCACTTGACTCTGCCTCCAGAGTGCTGGGATTAAAGGTGGGCGTCATCACATCTGAACTCCGCTATGTTTCCTGAGACAGGGTGTGTCACTGGACAGGGTGTGTCACTGGATGGGGTTTCTCACTGGACCTGGGCTCCAAGGACCTTTCTGTCTCCCTGGCGCTGGAGTTAAGCTGCGTGTGACTGCCCATGGCTTTTCCCAACGGGTTCTGGGCATCTGATTCAGGTCTTCATGCTTGTACAGCAAGCGTTTTACTGGCAGCCATCTCCCGATCCCATCTTTCTAAAAGAATTCCTTTGCGGATGCACGTGAGTACGTGTGTATACATGTGTATACCTGTGTGTGTGTGTGTGTGTGTGTGTGTGTGTGTGTGTGTGTGTGTGTAGGCCGAGGAACAACTTCCGGTTTCATCCTCAGGAAGGCGATCCACTTCCTATAAGGTAGAATTTCACTGGCGGAAACCAGTTACGTTAGGCCAGCTGGCCAGCAAGCCCTAGGTGTCCTCTCATCCGGCTCCCCAGCATGGGGATTACAGGCACATGCTGCCCGCCCGCCATCTTTATGTGGGTTCTGGGGATGAAGCTCAGGTCCTTACCCCTGCAAGGCAAGTTCTTGACCAACTGAGCCGTGCCCCTAACTCTTATCAACAAAGGAAGTCAGGTCCCAGATTACCGAGGGCGTTAATGATATAAAGCACATGTGATACTTTCTTTGCAAAATCAGAAAGTTTCTGAATCCAGACACACACTGTACAGCAACATAAAGGACTTCCTCAACCCCTAAAATAATCCCACTGTGTCCCCTGAGCACCTGCAGATGTCTGAGGAACTTAACATTGCTTGATCCTCCTGAAGTTGAACACTATCTTGTAACTGGATTACAGTATAATTGCAGGTGTATTTTAGGTTAGTGAAAAGCAACAAGGTTCTGCCTCCTGTACCTCTTGCCTGGCCGTCTCCATCCCGGCCTTGGTTTTCATTCACATGTGTTTCTGTATTAACCTCCCATGTGTTCTCACCACCATCCATCGTGTCCTTCTCCTGGCTCTTCCTGCTGTAAGCATGTGGCCTCTCCCTCTCATCACCACCCTCTGGGGGAGGTCAGGCCAGCTGGTGTTTACCAGGCCTTTTTCGCTTGTCCCTCCCAGTGTCTCCTTTCATTTTACCTTTGTCCCAGGACTTCCTTTGCTCTTTGCTCTTGCTTCTCACCTCCCAGTCTATTCTTTTTCTGTTGGTCTGACTGTTCCCTACTTTTCTCTGGGCTAGAATCAGTTGTCCTTTCTAGAAACCCTGGCCTTCTGCTCCTGGGGTGGGGGCTATCTGTTATGTAGCATGTACCCCAATGCCTGTTGAGTTGGGGTTAGTCTCTTCCACTAGTTTCCTTCCTGGTTGGAGCAATTATGTCTTGATGCTCCTGGCACATGTTTACCAAGAAAATAAATGCCCAAGATATACTCACTGATGAATGTCTGATCGATTGCATAGACCTCAGGTTTACACCGGATTTACCCAAATCATTATGCTAGCAGTTGGAGTTTTAAAGCATGCAATTCAAGATAAACCCAAGGGAGAGCTCTCTTCATTCCTTCCTTTCCCTCCCCCCCAAAAAAGTTGGAGTCCTGTGAGAGAAAGTTGAATTTGGGATGTTTTGAATTTGGTGGTTAAAAAAAATTGTATTTGCTGTGACATCTCATTGAACATAGCTTGCCATTTTTCTGGTGTGTTGCAAAGGTAGCGAAATTCGTCTGGCTCCATCTCTCATGGCTAGGCTATAATACTGGCCAGTGGCCCATGGAAACAGTGCTTTGTTGATCTGGCTATGAAAATTGTCTGTTGTATCCTGCATAACAGAAACCTTTATCATCGCCCTTCTACAAAGATGATGATTTCTACAAAGAAAACATTGTTTGACAACTCTCTGTTTGCAGGATGGTGTCTGAATTTTTGTGAAATTCTTTGTGTGGATATCTTTCATGCTGAGGGGCTTCTTGGGGCTGCTCCGGCTCTCGGCTTGAATTTGAAGCTACGAACCTACCTTATCTCCACCATGTTACTTTATATTTTCTTCTTTCTGTTTATCCCCAATGATTCCCCCACACCCCCAGTTGCCCATTGCGAGATATTAGTTATGGTAACAGAGAGAGCCCAGCACACAGTTCGTGCTGGTGGGGCTTGGTTAATTTTATGTTATTTCAGGACCCAGGTTCCTTCCATATCAGAGCTCCTCTGTCTCTTACTGTGACTGATATTGGATCATTTCATGTCGTTGTTCCAACTGTATGGTAAGAGAAGAGAGAAAAAATTCAGAGAAAGCAAATTCCTTTCACATAGAATTATGTGTGAAATAATTTTCTCCCATGGTCTGTTAGCCAGAATTTAGACTGAATATCTCACTGCTAGGGAGACACGGACACATATTGTCTAGGTGCTAAAATTCTTACTACTGGTTTTTCTTTTCTGTAACCAAATTCATGAGGGAAAGTATTTAAAGGAGAAAGGATTTATTTTTTGGCCTACAGTTTTAGATTCTCAATCCATCGTGGCAGGGACGGTGTGGTCAAGAAGGGCAGCTTTTTATGGCTGCTAGGAAGCAGGGGGGGGGGGCAGGCAGAACACTTGTGC